TAACTCCTTGGATGCTAACTCTCCATACTATGTGCATCCCTCTGATCACCCCGGTCTTGTTTTTGTCATCCATCCTTTGTCTGACAATGGTGACAATTACTTTACCTGGAAGACATCTTTCCTCAATGCTCTTCGTTCCAAGAACAAATCAGGTTTCGTGGACGGCTCCATCTCTCCCGCTGATGCGGATTCTCCCGACTACAATAATTGGGTGCGCTGCAATGCCCTAGTCAAATCCTGGCTCATCAACTCCATTCATCAAAACCTTCAACCTATGGCGGCTCACATCGAATCTGCCGTTGATGTTTGGAACGACTTTGCTGAGCGCTTCACTCAAGGTATCGCCCCTCGTATTTATGAATTAAAGCGCACCATTGCTCTTCTCCAACAAGAAAAGACTTCCACTTCTGTTTATTACGGTAAACTTAAGAATGTTTGGAGTGAATTGCAAAGTCTTCGCCCATCTCCTGTTTGCACTTGTGGTGCTTGTTCTTGTGGTGCTGCTAATAAATTACGGACTCTTCAAGAAGAAGAAAAGGTATTTGATTTCCTCATGGGTCTCGATGACTCATACAAAATTGTCCGCTCTCAGATTCTCAGTGTCGAACCTATGCCCTCCCTTGGTCGCGCCTATGCTGTTGTCGCTCAGGACGAGAAGCAACGCTCTCTTGCTGATAATCGTCATCCTGTTGTTGAGGCCTCCAGTCTTCTTGCCAAAGCCCCTCAACCCGGCCGCGGGGCTACTCGTCGAGATGGTCGTCGCACTGGCCCCAACAAACTTCATTGCACTCATTGTCGGCGCTCCAATCATCTCGTTGAAAATTGTTGGGAGTTGCATGGTTACCCCGCCGGATGGAAGCCCCGCCAGAATGTCACCACCCCCGCTGCTCTCGCCGCTCCTGCCCAATACACCGCGGCTGACTCCGGCACTGCATCTCTCTCCGCGACAACGACGGCCGCCTCCCTGACCCCAGCCCAGCTGCAACAACTCTTTGCCATGCTTGGCACCCAGCCGCCTGCTGGTTCTTCAGCCGCCTCCACTGCACCTCCACCGTCGGCCTCCTCTACTAGTGGTAAGATACTTTGGGCAGCCGATTCTGGCGCCACTGATCACAGTACTCATATGATGCACTCCATAATTAATCCTCGCATACCCTCTCATCCAATTCACATTCAAATCCCAAATGGAGATCATATTCCTGTCCAAGCTAGTGGGAGAATCAAGCTTGGCCCTGACTTATATCTTGAGAATGTTTTGGGAGTTCCACAATTTAAATTTAATCTTATATCTGTCAGCAAATTGACTCGGGATTTGAACTGTTTCTTCACTTTTGGGCCTGATTTTTGCTTCATACAGGACTTACGTTCGAGGAAACTGATTGGAGTGGGTAGAGTACGAGATGGATTATATTATTTGGAAGGTGTGGGAACTGGCGATGGTGGGAAGGTCTTGTTGGCACGCAAAGATAACACAGCTGGTTTATGGCACCATCGACTCGGTCACATGCCCATTGGTCGTCTACCTTTAGTTTCTGGAATTTCTATTTCTAATAATCATTCAGTCTCTTTTTGTGATGCCTGTTCTAAGGCCAAACACTCACGATTGCCTTTTCCTAGTAATGTCAATAAATCTTTGCACACTTTTGATCTCCTTCATTGTGATATTTGGGGTCCCTACCACACCCCTTCTCACTCTGGTGCTCGTTATTTTCTTACTTTGGTGGATGATTACAGTAAAGCAACTTGGGTCTTTCTTATGAAATTCAAATCCGAGACCAAACGCTATTTGATATTATTCCTTAATTGGGTTCACACTCAGTTTGCCACTACTGTTAAGACTATCCGCTCAGATAATGGTTTAGAATTTTCTCATGATGACTTGCTGCAATATTATTTTGAAAATGGAATTAATCGTCAAACTAGTTGTGCACACACTCCACAACAAAATGGGGTGGTAGAGCGCAAACATAGACATATTCTTGATGTTGCTAGAGCTCTTCGATTCCATGCTAGTCTACCACTTAAGTTTTGGGGGGAATGCATCTTAACTGCTGCCTACTTGATCAATAGAATGCCATTATCAGTTCTGCATAACAAAACTCCTTATGAACTTCTTTTTGGGCATGTTCCTTCTTATGATCATTTACGTAGCTTTGGTTGTCTCTGCTATGCTAATGTCACTAGTAGACCGAGAGATAAGTTTCATGCTCGTGGTAAACCTGGTATTTTTGTTGGTTATCCACATGGTCAAAAGGGCTACAGAATTTATGACCTGGACAGTCACCTCATTTATTCTTCCAGAGATGTGACGTTTCACGAGGATCAATTCCCTTTTGCCACTTCTGCACCCTTGGTCTCTGCCTCTTTGGATGTTGACTGTCAAGTTCGTGATGCCGCCATTGATCCGGTTCCTTTATCTGAGCTCCACTCTTCTCCGACTGCCTCATCCACGGCCGCGCCCAGCTCATCACCTGCACCACCTAGTCCTGGTTCTTCTGCATCAGACGGGCCATCCTCATCATTGCCTTTTCCACCACCGGCAACACCATCTCGCCGGACCCGCCAATTGCCACGTCGTCTCTCCGATTACGACTACACATTGCCACCTTCCCTCCTTCCAAATAATCCATCGTCTACTCTTGCCGCTTCTTCAGATTCCTCAACGGTACATCCACTATCTCATACTCTGTGTTATTCTAGATTTTCAAAGTCGCATGTTGCCTTTTTAGCGGCCATCTCTTCTACAGATGAGCCCACTTCCTTTCGACAGGCTGTTCAATATAAACATTGGCGAGATGCTATGTCTACTGAAATCAAGGCTCTAGAATTCAATAACACATGGAGTATCGTACCTCTTCCTCCTGGAAAGCGAGCTATTGATTCTAAATGGGTCTATCGAGTGAAGTTTCATCCTGATGGCAGTGTTGACCGTTATAAAGCCCGTTTGGTGGCTAAGGGCTTCACTCAAATTGAAGGAGTCGATTTTCATGAGACCTTTGCTCCCGTCGCTAAGCTCGTTACTGTTCGTTGCCTTTTAGCTCTTGCCTCCATTCGTAAATGGGAGCTGCATCAACTCGATGTCACTAATGCCTTTCTACATGGCGACTTACATGAGGAAGTTTACATGAAGATTCCTCAAGGTTTTGCCAAACAGGGGGAGACGCGTGTTTGCCGGCTTCAGAAATCCCTTTATGGACTTCGTCAAGCATCGCGAAATTGGTACCATAAGCTTGCTCAAGCTCTTACTACCGCTGGTTTTCATGAGTCTTCATCCGACTCATCACTATTTCTTTATTCAAAGGGGTCTTCTTTTATGGCTGTTCTTATTTATGTTGACGATATCATCGTCACCGGCAATGATGTTTCCAAGATTCTCCAACTTAAGAAGTACCTTCACCAGCAATTTAGCATTAAAGATCTTGGCCCTTTAAAATATTTTCTTGGTATTGAGATAGCTCGCTCTTCTACGGGTATTGCTCTCAGCCAGAGAAAATATGCGCTTGATATTCTCCAAGAATGCGGTCTTCTTGGTTGCCGACCGATCTCGACCCCCATGGAGCAGCAACATCATCTCTCTGGCGACTCTGGGGAGTTATTTGATGATCCTGGACGTTATCGACGTATCGTTGGTCGTCTTCTCTATCTCACTATCACACGTCCCGATATCAGCTATGCAGTCCATGTTCTTTCCCAATTTATGCACCAGCCGCGTATCCCTCACTATGAGGCTGCTCTTCGTGTTTTGCGCTACTTGAAGAATGCTCCTGGTCAGGGTCTCCTCTTCCCTTCTTCTAGTTCTCTTCAGTTGCGCGCCTATTGTGATGCTGATTGGGCAGGATGTCCGTCCACTCGTCGTTCCACTACCGGCTTTATTGTTTTCTTGGGTGATTCTCCGATCTCTTGGCGTTCCAAGAAGCAATCTATTGTATCTCGCTCTTCTGCTGAAGCTGAGTATAGGGCTATGGCATCTACAACTAGTGAATTGGTTTGGCTTGTCCGTCTTCTTGATGAGTTGCATGTTTCTCAATCAGTTCTAGTCCCTCTTTTTTGTGACAATCGTGCTGCCATCCACATTGCTTCGAATCCTGTTTTTCATGAGCGCACAAAACACATTGAGATTGATTGTCATTTTATTCGCCATCACATTCTTTCCAAGCTTTTGGTTCCACGTCCTGTTTCTTCCAACCGTCAGTTAGCGGATTGTTTCACCAAGGCTTTGGGTCGTGACTCCTTATTTGGTATTCTCGGCAAGTTGGGCATTTGTGATCTTCATGCTCCAACTTGAGGGGGAGTATTGAGAGAATATCTTGTGATATTCTTATACGATAAATATGGCAATTGTATCTTGTTGATATGATATAGATTAAGTTGTATCAATTAGATGATATGGTAAATCTCGTAGATTAGGTCCTTTGATTTCTTTCCTTTCTTTCATCTCCTTTGGCTTGTATAAATACCTTGTAATCTTCATTGAGTTAAACAACAATTCAAGCTCTACATCATTCTCTCTATTTTTACATAACTCTTTTGTGGAGCCATCCATTAATTTATGTATTGACGCCCGTGTCGAGTGTTTTTACTGTATAACACGTACGTGTCCATATAGAATTTGTGAATAATTGTATATAACTCCATAGCAAAATTGTTTAGAGCTAATCAAGTTAATGTGAATCTTAAAGGGACCTAAAAAAAATTCTGTGCATCATTTAACTATAGGGCAACTGGGTTAAGGCTAACAAGTTACTCCCCCATACTAAAAGTTTAATGTTGAATAATCAACTTACTTGAGGGAACAAGCATAAATTCTTTCGTTACAGATGTGAAGTGTCCTTTTTGACACCATATAGGAATAAAGTTGATTGCTTGTAGTTTGAGTAGATGACCTTTCAATCCAAGAATATAGAAAATCAACATGGACACTTCAACTGATACAACAACATTTCCAACTTTTAGATCTCTCTTTCTTTTACTCTTCAAATACTGTATGACATTATAAATATTTTGACTTTTCCCTGTAACCAACCCTCAGCTTCTCATCATCAAGCTAGGAGAGAATCAACAAAACCTGTTACATTTTTCAGGTATGCTTAATCTCTCCTTTTTGGTTTGATTTTACAAACACATATAGCATACTTTTAGGCCTCTTGTCTTTTAAGACAGAATCTATAGTTTGATTTATGCTCAAGAAAATGGAATACTGAAGTTTCTCTTCTACCATTTGCCACTTAACATTTTTGCTGTCATGTGTACAGGAATTTATCATAATCTGTCTCCTGAGAATATACAGAGATTGCAACATGATTCCCCAAGGTACATATCATGCTCTTTATTCAATTAAACTAGTGAAATTTAATCTTGTCCCTTTTCAATTTTTTTCAACCTATATACTTATTACATTTCATCCTATTATATTATAAAACAAACTATTTAATTGTGGCCTTCAATTCAGGCAAAACCAGGATGCTACATTGCTTCAGGAGAAAGAGGAGAAACACAAGCAGCACAGACAAGAAAACCCCGACAAACAACAACAACCACAAAAAAATTGCCGAGAGATGGAAAATCCTAAGCGGGTCGACCAACTGGGTCGGCCTGCTCGACCCACTCGACCCGGACCTACGCCGCTACCTTATCCACTACGGCCAGCTGGCGCAGGCCGCTTACGACGCCTTCATCTCCGAGCGCGCCTCCAAGTACGCCGGCGCCTGCCGCTACACCAAGGACAACCTCTTCGCCAATGTCGGGCTCAACAGGGGCAATCCCGTCAAATACCGCGTGACAAAGTACATCTACGCCACGTCATCGACCAAAGTGCCCGACGCCTTCATAATGAAGTCTTGGTCGAGGGAGGCGTGGAGCAAGGAGTCGAATTGGATAGGGTACGTGGCCGTGGCGAGTGACGAGGCGTGCTCGGTTTTGGGGAGACGGGACATTTTGGTGGCGTGGAGGGGCACGGTTAGGACGCTCGAGTGGATGAACGACTTCGAGTTCGCTTCGGTCTCGGCTCCCGAGATCTTCGGAGGTGACGTGGGACCCAAGGTGCATCTCGGGTGGTACTCGGTTTACACTTCCGACGATCCGCGGTCCCCGTTTAATAAGACGAGCGCGCGAGACCAGGTATGTATTATGAGTTTCAGGGGAAACCAGGGTTTACCTTAGATAATTTTTTTTTTGTGTGTTTTATAGGTTCTTACCGAGGTAAAGCGATTAGTCGAGCTGTACAAAAACGAGGAGGTTAGCATAACGATAACCGGCCACAGCCTTGGTGCGGCCGTTTCCACCCTTTGCGCGGTCGACATTGTCGCCAACGGCTACAATCGACCGCGTAACCCACCCGACAGCTGGCAATGCCACGTCACCGCAATTGTCTTCGCCAGCCCGCGAGTTGGGGACGACAAGTTCCGTAAGTTCTTCTCGGCGTTGGAAGATATTCGTGTGCTGCGAGTACGGAATGCGCGGGATGTGGTCCCCACGTACCCGTTCGTCGGATACTCGGATGTGGGGGAGGAGCTGGGGATCGACACGGAGAAGTCGGGCTACCTGAAGGGTTTTTCGGGGAATCTGGACACGTGGCATAACTTGGAGATTTATTTGCACGGGGTGGCGGGGACGCAGGGGAGGGGAGGGGGGTTTAGGCTGGAGGTGGAGAGGGATATAGCGCTGGTGAACAAGCATTTGGATGGTTTGAAGGATGAGAATTGCGTGCCGGTTGGGTGGTGGTGCGAGAGGAATAAGGGGATGGTGCAGAAGGAGGATNAAGGGTTAAAAAAAAAAAAAAAGAAAAAAAGAAGAAGAAAGAAAGAAAAGTGATTTGAGATTGAGAATAAAAGTGGTGTTTGTGTGGAAGGTAGATATATAAATCGAGAAAATGGTTTAGGAAGATGAGAAAAACATAAATAAAAATCAAAGTTAGGGCATGTGATAATTATATTTTTCTTTAAGATGAAATTGTCTTGTAAAATACCCACAGTTAACAGCGAATGCCACAAAATACAACGATTTTTGACTTGTATGTAGAGATGCTTCAAATATATAAAGCTTCAGTGAACAAACTGATGTGTAAAACTCCCGAGGCTCAATAAAGAATCAAAGAACACAATATGTTATGTTGAGATTTGACAAATATAATGCAAGAGCTCTTAAATTGCAATGATCTTCATGATTCATTTATGTGGGTATTATATATGTAGAAAATACCTCCATGATGTTTAAATATCAAAAGATACTTTATGAGACTTGTCCGGACGATAACGGATGCACTCTTAAACCAAAAGGCACCTTATGGTCATCAAGAGCCGCGACAAGATTCGCGACCAGCAGCCCCAAACTAGTCACGATCGTGAGCTGGCTTAGCGGACTATCACGAGCCGTGAAGGAGCCAGTTGTGCGCCGGCGCGCCACGACCCCGCACGTGCTCATCTGAACTATAAATTGTTCCTGATTTTTTCTACTCATCCCCCAACAAACTCTATTAGAGTTATAGCATAGCGAATGCATGAATATAACTCGTTTGACTTATAGAAACATTCATCAAAATTCAAACATGTTGCGAATTTAATAATTTAATAATGATTATGCTTTTAGCTAGGTGGGTGCTTAGTGTGAGAAAGGCCAACAAACGTGTAAGGATATTGGTGGGTGTACATTGCAATCAAAGTTGTTCCGTTATGCAAATTAAAATTGGTCTGAAAGCAAAGAATGGGAAATAATGAAAATATTGTACGACGCTTGATGTTCGGACGGGGTATAAGGCTAGATCTTAGGTTGATGGTAATGAAAATGATTGTGACAAAGAAAGTCAATGAGCATAACCAAGAACTTTATTTACTTTCTTTTTTACAGAAAAATCAAATCTATATCTATATCTATATCTATATCTATATCTATATATGTATAAAGAAGTTGTTGGAAAAATACATTAATAGAAAATTTGACCAAATAAATATAATGTTTGACTTACTTAATAAAAAGTTAAAAAAAACACATATAAATCTTTAGTAACAAAACCTAAATCCTATTTTTTTGTAACAAATTTGGAGAGTCTTATAGAAAAATTTGAATCCCATTTTTTTTCGTATCATATTTTATTTTTTTACCAAAATTTAAATGATATATTTTTTGTAATAATTTGGAGATTCTTATGCAAAAAATGTGTCAATTATTTATGAAAAACAATTGTAAATACAAATTAATTTAAAAACCGTGCACATTGGATACAAATTTAGGAAGCAAATAGTTGTATAATTCTTAACCAATTTTTCCAATCTTATTGAATAATTTTTTCTTTCAAAAAAACATGAAATTGAATCTAAGCATGAGGTAATCCATTCACCTAGGGTTAGGGATTTTGATTCTTGTTTTGAATTATGAGGAATGTGTTTTGTTCAATCTATACGAGTTGTGTGAATTATATGGTTAGTTGATTGATCACCATTCTAACCTAGTTAATCGACGTTTAGAACCGAGAGGGGAGACGTCGGTCGATTTAGGCTCGTATAGAGTAGACATGTTCGTAAAAGTATTGTCTATGTGTTGCTTGTTTGAATGAATTTATCGTTTATGTTTGTGCTCTTGTTACGAAGAGTTATTGAGCATAGCCCTCTAGACGTGTAGGCTTGTTTAACCTCGTAACCGAACAAATAAGCGTTCAACATAGTTTAAGACTTGATGAGATTTCCCGACCCCTAGACCTTCTTCTTTTTCTCTAGGAATTTAATTATTATTTCTTTAAATTGTTTTTCTAGTTCTAGATTGTTTTAGTTGATTCCCCCAAATCAATCGTGATTAGAGTGTTTAGTACTTATTTTCTTTTCGTGTGTGATCAAGACCAACGCTAAATTCCGAACAGTCTTCCTCGAGAGATCGACTCGGGTAACGAATCCTTCGATTCGGTACACGGTAAAAAAATAAAAAAATTTGCTACAACATAAACCAAAATCAATGAGCTCAAATTCTATATTACTCTTATATATAATTGTCGAATTCGTTGAGTCTAAGTGATAGACCCGCACACTTCGAAATCTTATGTGACAAAAAATCAGGTTTCAGCTAGACTTGAATATAAGTTAATATTTTTATAAAATAATAATTAGGCTTGAATTGCATTAAATAATATATATATTATTCACATTAAATCTATGACTAAACTCTTCCTTATATTCTTATACAAATAGTTACCATAAACAATTATATGATTCCTTATCCTACATTATCATATGTTACACTTCATTTTTCTATTTAATTCATGCACCAATTATATAAATGCGTCTTCTTCTTATTTTTAAAATTTTATAACATTTTGTTTGTATTTTGTCTTTTTATATAATATATCAAATGAATTATCTTTTAACGATCATCGATTTGACATCCATATTACATATATAAAATACAAAACAATGATATATATACTTACAAATAGATTTTAAACTAATTTATCAATCTAAATTTAAAAATATAAAATAATATAAATTATTTTACGAAATACTAGAAATTGATTTATATTATTTTTTTTTCCCGGAACGATAGAGTAACTATTATAAATCAAAAGGGCACAAATGTGCGAATAAAAGTACAAGCTCCCAACGGGAGAATAAAATGGGAGGACAGGTCTGACGACCGCCTAGAATCCCGACACTAGCAACGCTAGAAACCAAAAACAAGACACACGACACAAAACACACTACAAACACTAAGAAAAACTACAAGGCTCCCAACAGGAGAATAGAGATAAGAGCAGATCCCAACAGGATAATAAGCTTGCTCCCTCTCAGATACAGAGGCCAATGGCCCAAACCGAAACCACAATCCTACAAAAGAGACCAAAAAATAAACAAGACAAAACAAAAAAAAACACACGAAACAAAACTAATCAATACGAGCCCTTCCCAAGCAGCCAAAACCAATCCTAGCCAGCGGATACCAAGTCGAACCAAAGTGAGTCCCTCCACCAAATAGGACCAACCCCGAAACTGCCAAAAACCAACTCGGTTGCCTAACGGAGTCGAAATCCAAGCCTCGAGACATCACCCATCGTCCACTCGCACCACGGCCACAACACCTAACTTGTCTACAAACCGCTACAGAACCGAACCCTCTAACACACTAGAGGGGCTCGCGGTATCGGGTCACCCCCCGAACCTCAGAGCAAGAAACAGGGGAAAGAAAACAAGAAGATGTCGAGGCCCCTGCCCGACTCCCAAAAATACCTGAACACTGCCGTAGGCCCTCCACACCACCGTTGCACCGCGCCGGCCAACACCACTAGCCGGAGAACGGGAGCACCGACCCTCCCTGACCCAACAATAGAGCACAGAGAGATGAGGACCGAAACAGTGGCGTAGCACCGCCCTTCCGCAACCAAACGCCGCCGAGGATCGAGCCACGTTCCGCCCACAGATTCACACGCCTTCAAAGCCCACCACTCCGGCAAGACCGCTAACCTGGCCACACGAACAGACGCACCGAAAAAGGCGAAATCCATCCAGAACAGATTGAAGGCGGACTCCATAGCAGCAGAAGGAGAAGCGTGAATCGAGGCGGGATTCAGGCGGCCGAGAGCCGGCCGTGGCTCGATTCGATTGCTACTGAGGAAGGCGAACAAAAATCTGATGAGAGGCGACGGCGGGTGAGCGAAAGAAAGAGGAGAGAAATTAGGGTTCGGGGGGGTTGAACATACTAACTTAATGGCATTTGTTTTTATGAAAAGTGTTTAATAACATATAAATTTCATTTTCATGAAATTTTTAATGGCATGAAACAATTTAAATACAAAATATTTTTAAGAAAATAAATAGGTAATAAATGCTCCCATACATCGCACTAGTGATATCTATACTTATATAATAAGAATTAACATTTATCAAAATTAGTAATTTAATTAATGGTCAAAGTCAGTTTTGCATTTATTACTCTCCAAAATCGGTAACTCTTATGTCCATTTATGTCCTTTTCACATGCCTTTTAAACTCATTAATTGTACCGATTTAATTCTCATGAAATAACCCCATTTCACACGCTCAGCATTTATGTCCTTTTCACATGCCTTTTAAACTCATTAATTATACCGATTTAATTCTCATGAAATAACCCCAATTCACACGCCTCATTAATAGCGCACACTTCATTAATAGCGCATAATTTTTTATGGTAACGAAATAATCCCATTTCACACGAGCATCCTTATCACATATTTTTTTATGGTAACCCTTTTAAACATATTTTTTTTAACGATAAATTGAAGAAAAAAAATCGTATTATAAAGAGAAGATATCTGGGATAATTTTAAGATTCAAAAACAAAATCTTATTATAAGGAGAAGATATTTTATACACCTTATCATTATTGAAAACTGATATTAAGTTTGTTATTCATTTCCTAAAACAAATACACGTGTTGAATTATTATCTCTAAAAAACTATACAGAACATACGCATATATATATATATGTACATATACACATATTAAATTTAAATATAGACATATTTTCTTTACAAAATAGTCTAGAAAAATCTTTTTTACAATGTTAAATTCAAATGTTCTCAGATATTTTTTCCTTCTAAAATTGTTTAGAAAAGTTGTAGATGACTTCACATCTTTCAAAAATAATATAGAAAATTTTGAATACTTTTACATATATACTAATATAATATTTTAGGTGTTTTTTAATATTAAACATGCAAATTTTATATTCTCTTATACAAAATAATGTAAATTTCATATTTTCTTATATAAAATAGTTTTACATTGTTTGACCCCGAATCTTTAATTTATAATTATTAAGTATTGTTTATCCTCCTCTTTACTTTATAATTATTTTTTTTCTTTCTCTTTTTAAATAGGATCAATAGTAGTTTCCACTTCCGTCAGTGACTCAAACTCGAGATCTATTTATAATATTATTAATTTAATATTGTTCCCGTACATCGCACGGGGTATACACTAGTAGAAAAGAAACTCGAGTAGATAAAATGTTCGGCCCCACAGGGTACACATCCCTTGTTTACAAACAAGTGCAAACAAGTGAAATAGGGGAAACAAACCCCCTAAAGAGCCACAAAAGGGCTAAGTAACCAAACAAGCAAAAAATAAGTAAAACTAGCAGCAGAGCAAAAGGAGACTAACATNAAAAGACTAAAAACTAGCAGCAGAACACACTTCAGAACTCCAACCACTGAACCGAGCAAGCTGATTCCTAGCTGGAAAGTTGGCCAAGGCAACACTCTATATGGACTCTTCAAAAGAAAACCTGCATTGCCTACCCTAAGGCAAGCCTACAGCAAACCCCTTCAAACCCAGCAACAAGGACAAAGCACCAAGAATACCAACAGCACACACCTCAAACTACAAAAAAACTAAACACAAAGAATCTGGTGAGCAACTTCAAAATCAATCAACTCTTGTCTAGCTCCTCTTACCACCTCCAAATAAGACCACCATTTCTTATTAAAAACTCAATTGTTCATTGTCTTCCATAGCCACCAAATAATCTATGTTGAATGATTGATTTTGTCAGTTATACAAGCATTATCAATATGGCATATGTTCGACCACCAAGTACTAAAAAATACAGAAGACTCCAGAATCCCTCGCCAGTCAATTTCAGCTAGCTTTCAAACTCTAACTGCCCTAGAACATTTAAAGAAATTGTGTTCCAGCTTTTCTTCCTCATCTCCACACAAATGAAAGATAGGATCAACACTCAAGAATATCTTTTTCAGTTGATCAAAAAGTACTGAGATAATTATGCCAACCTCTCCACAAGAAGTTTTTGATGTTGTTTTTTATTTTTAAGGATCAGGTTCTTTTCCACATCGTTGCCATTTTAGTCGAGCTATTTCTAGATTCTGGTACTTGAGAAACACCCTATTTTTCTGAAAAATTGCCTTATAAGAAGAATGGACAGGAAAAGGCCATGATTGTTCAGAAACCAAACCAGGTCAACTTCTCTTTTTGATTTTTGCTAAAGGTTTGTGTTCTGAGTTACCGTTATATACAAATCAAATGTCATTGTATCTTGAGGAGTTAGCTGTGAACAGTGGGTGATATACCCTGGTATTTCGTCCTAAGGAGAGCGTAACCTTACATGTCTCAGACTTTGAATTTTTTTATTGTTCTTTTTCCTTATGCTTCTTGATTCATTTTCTTGACATTCGCAAACACACAAACAACAACAATTTCATTCTTAAACTCATTAACAGTGTTTGAATATTGGTTTTCAGGACTATAACTATGTAAAGGAAATAAGAAAAATCGTTTTGTGTCTATCTTCATTAAAGCAAAGAACATTGGCACATGAACTAACTGCATAACCAAATCATAGATTCTTAACAGACTTGAAAAAAAAAACATTGGTCTTAGGCATTCATTCTTCACTTCAAACCTAAACAAGACAAGATATTTGTCAAACTGTACATAGTTAAAAACTAATCCTATATATACACGAGTACACAACTGACCCAGCCCCCCTTGATTTTTCAACATGTCCTGTAAATTCATTTCCATCATTCTCTTCTCCTGATATTTTGGTTCTTACTTCTAATCATTTGGAACACAAACACGACTAACGATAATAGTAAGGTTGATCCAGCCACAATTGGAACACACAATTTGCACCTCTTCTCACGAGGCTCAACAGAAGACCTTTCTGTTTCTTCATCCAATCTTTCTTCTTCAACACTACCATCTTCATCATCACGAGCCTTTTTGTGATTTTCATGCACGTCTTCTTTAGGCTCGGATGTTTCTTGTATAATTGCAGCTTTTTCGATCTGTTCCTCTCTTTTCACAATTGACTCAACAACGCGTGCCTCTAATGGCAATTTGTTTTCTTGATCTGAGGCCCCTGCATTCCGGCTATTTTCTTTTTCGTCCGCAATCTTCAAATTCAACGACCCTTCTCTAGCGAGCTCGTGTTTTTCATCAACTTCATCGATCTTCATCCCCATAATTCCTTTGACCTTCTTAGGCATCGTGATCTTAAGAGTTGACTCGTCCTCATTGTAGTTAGCCTTGATCTCGTCAAGAATCACGCCACCCGGGATTTTAAAGGCCTTTTTGAATTCTTTTGTCGTTGTGTCTTCGTTGTACACTTTCCATCCGATCATGACCGTCTCTTTCACGTGTTTTTCGCCGCTTATTGCGATTAAGGTCCCGTCCTCGTTTATGTCGATTTTTATGTGCTCTCGCTTATAACCTTCAAAATATACAGATAAAAAACAAGGAATCATTTTTCTTCAGAGTTTAAGTCATATATCAATACCACCCTTAAAGTTTAGTTTGATTACAGAAAATTCAACCATGTCTCTTGTCTTGAATTGATATAGAAAATTCAATCATGTCACTTGTCTTGCAAGTAACAACTCAATGTGTTAATAAAACAGTCAAATTTCGGCCTGGCCGGCTTAAATTTTTGTCCTAAGGGTACCTATTTATGTAACTATCCAAATTAATTAAATATGTACAAAAAGGGGTAGAAGAGATAAAAAATGATAGAGAACCTTTGAGATGAGCAGTCAGAATAAACATGGCATCTGTTTCACTAGACAAGAAAACGGGGCCCGCACGATCTTTCGAGAGTTGAAAATCAGAGGTGAAATCATCGGCTGCTCGTGTTAGTTTGAGTCCTAATTCCATCTCCATTTTTCCCAGTAAAATCTCGACACAATCCTATCGAATTTGTGTAAGGGAACGAAAAATGAGAGGTTATATATGAAAAGAAAACATCCAAGTTGAAGCAAAGCAAAGCACATATGCTTTGCTTCTTGCAGTTTTTCCATAAACCAAAACACATGCTGTACATTGCTTCTTCCAAGGTTTTCGAGGCTAATTTCTAAGTCCTAAACATGAAAATCCAAGTCTTAATAGTTGGGTGGTCGTCGCTTTTCGAATGCTTAAAAGAAAAACAAATTTTTACATCATTATTTGCAGTTTCGAAAGATAAATGGATCCTTTGGTAATTAATCAAACCCAGAGAAAACGTATTTTCTCTAACCGAACATCTCATGTGTATAAAACCACAACTTGTGGATCAAACACAATCATTATCACATTGTGAGCCCCAGATCTTTTGTGGT